TCTCAGAAGACAGTATTAAAAAAAAACAAAAACCAAACCCAGCATTTCTTACACATTCAGCCGGAGGCTGTTTCCCGCCAGTTCGCAAACTTGTGTTGATTTCCCTTCCCGTTTCCCTCAGCGTAACTCGGCCTGCTGGCCCCAAGAGGTGGAGTGGGAGCCACCCCCCAGGACCACCCGGCCCTCAGCTCCCTGGGGAAACGCAACATCGGAGTTAGGAAACCGCCTCTTCCTCCCCCAAAACTGGATTTTGCACCCTTCTTAGCGACAGGAGAATACTGTTAACTACCCTATGGGTACAAATGTCTGTACTGCTGACAGTGGCTCATTTACCTGCGCTCCAGGACAAGGAAAACTGTCCAAACTGCATTCTTAGCGTAGACAGGCAAATTCTGAAAAACACCTGCAAGTAACCTGATTTAGATGGGGTATGTAAGAACGCCAGAAAGTGGGAGACCCTTGGGGAGTAGATTAGTCACTCAGGAAATGTAGTTTTTGGATTTAAAAAAAAAAAAAAAAGTCCTATCATCTAGGCTATACAAAAACACAAGTGAAGGCAACAACCTCCGTTATGGCAGAAAACCAAAAGAATGTTAAAGGAACTGCTACAGCCTAATTCAGCACTACATATTTAATAGAATTCACCTCTCACTGCACCCTCACAAAACAGCGTAGCGTTATTCTCTCTGCAGCGCAGTGGGAAATTTCAACAGAGGAATGCACAGATTAATGTCTGGTTCAATTCTTTGCCAACAGCTCAAACTCTCAGGCTCGCCCCTTTCTCAGGGCAGAGAAGTGTAAACCAAGGAGAGAGGTCATGATGTCAGAGAAAACGCTTCCTTTGCGTGCTGCCTCGAGTTTATTCAAAACAGTGACAAATGAGAACAAAGCGAAAGAGTTTAGGCTGAAGAGAAATTAAGAGGGCAGCATGCATGCTTTAAGAAAAATTCAAACCAACCTGTAAAAGAGCATAAAACCTTTGGGGTCCTTGAGAGAATTTGTCATAGTATATATGGCCTCTTTAAGCACAGGTTGGGGAAGCACCTTAGAGGCTTCAAGCTGGCTCCAGTAAGGGGGCAAGGTAGGGGAACAGGGCAAGAACCTGGAGGATTGTTTTCAGGCTGTATTTTTTGACTGGCATTCAACTTCGTATTTATCTAACAAGAAGGAAAGAAGGGAAAAAAGGAGAAAAAGAACCAAAAGCCTCATGCAAGCATTTTACACTTCCAATAAGCAGAAGGGAATGCAAATTTTTCAGTCAGCGATATAAAGGACTCTGAATTTAAATTTATGGTTAAAAATTATAAATCCATCTTAAGTTTCACGTATTTGCATCAACACTGATCCTAACTGCAGCCACGCTGTCAGAATATCACGAGGGGTAGTAGTGCTCCATACTTAGAGGCAGGACAAGCAAAGACAACTCCGCAGCCAGCACGGCTAACACAGAAACAGGACACAGTTATCGCCAGTGCCACTGCTCCCTTCCAGTTTTCCGTGAAGTTAGCGGGGTCTACAGGATGTGCTAGGTTAAGGTTCGGGATATACAATAGATTAAAATTAAACAAGCAAACTCACTCAGAACCCCAATTACCCTATAGAAAATATGTTTTAATATAGACAGCTCACAAATGAAATAAATTGCCCTAATGCATTGCTAAGCTGCATACATAACACTGCATATACAAAATTGTAGTCTTAATTCAGAGCTATCAAAAGCAAGGACACGACAGTTCTTGTGCAATGTGTGACAGCAGCACAACTGCATTCAATACAAAGAAAACTGTGGAATCTATGCTATACCTTGCCTTTTTGTAAGAGAAGGAAGAAAGCTCACATTTTAGCCCACCTTTTCTTAGTTGAAACACATTCTTGGAAGTGTTTCACCTCTTAAAATTTAAATGTAAGGCAACTTTTATTAATATGCATCTCAAGAATTTAACTAAAGTGTTTATGCACTTACTTAGTATTAAAACACCCATGTTGACTCTGAAATTAACGTTTGCTGGGGGGTCTTACCCTAAACAAATTGATTCCCATGCCTACTGCTATTAAGGAAGCTCAGCTAAAACCCCTTTTTTATTAAAGAGACAATTTGTAACTGTCACTTTGTGCCTGAAAATCATGACAGTAGTGGCAAGGGTCTTTGTGTTGGCCGTGTTACAAGCAGTAAACCCAGCTGATGAAAGCTGGGATTTCACATGTAGATTTTTGTACTTACTACGGGAGTGAAGTTACTGACTCCTCCCTACTAGATTTAGAAGTATAAAAAAAAAAGTGCTGCATAGTATCAAAACAGTACTGACCAAAGGAGGAACTGTAACTTCTGTAATTTCACTCAGTATCCAAGACTACAGAAGTGCACCCTCCCCCCCAAGTTTATGGTAGCCAAAAGACATTACATGAATGAATTAGAAATTACAATGTCTTCCAAATTATGTAGTTCAGCCCAGCCACAACCTCAAAGAAAAAAAAAAATAAAAAATCTGTGTGGCAGTGAACTTTCTTAAAGCAATGAAGCTGTAGAGCTGCTTGTTTGGCCAAACAAGTATTTCTTGAGGCTGAAGTGAGTACAGTGGAATTATGAAGACATTCCTTTCTCCATTCACAAATCTCTCCCTAAAGAACATCTCATTGAAAACAGGAAGCCACTCTCTGCTTGATGATTCAAAATTCTGAAAAGAAATGGTTTTAGAGGGTATTTAAAAAAAAAACAAACAACAAACCCCAACCTCCACAAACACAGAAAAAAAAAGGAAAAAAAGTATTTATCTGTTGTTTGAAGCCCAGATACTGCAACACCAAGAACAAAATCAAGACTATAAAACAACTTTGCTTATAGTTCCACACTAAGAATGTGAAGTTTGCAACAAATACAAGTATCATTCCAGAGTTCTACTTTACAGAACAGAGCAGTTAGGTTAGGTTTTAAGGATCTTCAAGTTGTTCATAAACCTTTCAAAGAAGAGCTTAAGGTGCTTGAGACTCAAAAATAAGAACCTAATTTGATTAAGAGCTCTGCTTCTCTAATGGTACCTTTGAGAAATACATGCAACCGCATTTTGTTACACATACGAGCAACTTTGCTTTTATTTTCCTCTCCACATACAGGCAAAAAAAAAAAAAAAAAAAAAAGCCTTAAGTTGAAATATAACCTAATGCTGTTGGGACAGCAGCCTAAAATTGGAGAAAAGCTTTCTGTCTACACAGGTATTTGGCCACATCTTCCTATTACAATCCAAAAAGTGCTACAGACAGCTGTATATTGACTACTGGTTTTGAACATATTTAGAAATAACTTTCTATTGTTGATATGGCTAAACTGAAGCCTATCTAGAAGTAGTACAGCATTCTGGTAGAATTTCTCTCCCTCTAAGTTATTTCCCAAACCAGCAAAGATTAGAAAACTTTGAAAAAAAACTGTCAAGTCTGATTCATCCATAATTTGCTTAGCATTTTAAAAGAAGAAAATCCTCATCTTCAGTGCTCACCCATGAGGAAACAGCAACTCTAATTACACCAGAAAAGGAGAGAAACGCACAGTTTAATCCAAATTCCAGCAGGATTCTCCTCCCACCTCCCATTTCTAGCATTGCAGTATCAGTACACATCATGAAACAATATCTAACTCTGCAGTACTTTTCCACAAGTTCTCTCATGCAGAAGAGCAGTAGTAGTTCATTTGGACCTCTGAAAACCATCTTGCAAAGTCTCAAAATATTCTGGTAAATTCGGCAAGTAGACATTCATTTCACAGAATAAGTTGAGGATAAAGAGGGGCATTAGTAACAAGGTAAAGTGTAAGAAATAAACTTAGATTGACAGGAAAGAGTCCTAATAGGAAGAGTGCAATTCCATTAAATCATACTTCTATATTTCAAGGACATAAACATGACTTTTTTTCCATAGAAAGCTCAGCCATTTAAATACTGACATATACCAATTTAAGATTAGGGTGGAAATAAAGCAGTCACAACCTTTGTGTGCACTGTAAGCATAAGCTAACTTCACAAGCAGTAATACATGTGTATTAACACCAAATTTGGAAAATTACTACATTACTTCTCAAGAGATGAATTCTGCATGTCTTTATCCAAAGCTTTATGAGAAGCGCTCTGTTTCTGTACAGGTAATTCAAGCATGAACTTCTTAAGCGCTGGTACACAAAGCAGTTATCCTGAAGATACGTAGACGTTTGTTCAAAAATTTCAGCAGACAGAATTCTGTTCTAGAATTGGTAACTGCTTACATAGTTCCAATTCCCGTGGGGAACTGGACATTCACTTCCTCGGTGGGAACAGCTTCTTATGCCATAATTATAGATATGAAGAAAAATTCTTTCATGCATTTTTCCTGTGCTTTGTGTCCATCACTTCCTCAGCATCATTTTGTCACGCATCTTCCCTTTAACCACCAGGACACTGTTCCCTTGAAGCCTGCCTAAGTTTTCAAGGAGTCAAATACTGTTTTTTTGGCATTACCTGGGTTATGATGTGTTGATATTACAAATTTGGCCTAAGTTCCAAATATAGGAGGGAAAAAGAGTATTTAACTTTTTTAGCACAATCTTTAGGTGGTAAAGCCTGGAGTTTCTGAAAGTTTTACTTTCCTGGGGTTTGATCGAACTGCCTACCTCTAATGCTGAGGAGCTGTACATTTACTATTCCAGAGAGCAACCAGGAATGCTTCAGTACAGAGCTTTCAGGACAAAGCCTGATGTTCCCTGTAATCAGAACTCTTTGGCTGGACACTGAGACCAGACCAGGGCCCCCTCTCTGATGTTATCAAGAATTTTCTCTCCCTCCCACCCAATGCCATCTGTACAGCTGCCTGGAAAAGAAACACATTAAAAAGAGCAGAGATAAAAAGGACAATTGGGACATAAAATCGTAAGACGTGAATAAGCAGAGGTTGAAAGTGAAAGGAGGAAAAATACTGATTAGCTCATCAAGGAAGAAGGTACCTAGTGAAAAAGGAACCAGAGCATCCAGTGCTCCAGTCTCATCTGCTCTGGGGACCAATCAGGATGCAGAGTGTACCAAAGGATATCTTTATGGGGATCATCATCCACATGCTCTGGTTTCTAACGATAAATGAAAGGGAATTTCAGTCTTAACTCTGACTCTGCACAGTGAAGGAGTGTATTACCTCCATTAAACAATGGTGATGACTGGTGAAATTACCAGCAGGAAGGATCAGCTGGGCTCCTTAATTCACTTTGGGCAACATAAACTATCTCAAAGCTTACTGGTATTAGCTAACCTAATCTGATTGAATTTGCAGGAATGGATTAGAACAAGCTCCGATAATTCTGTGCCAGAGAAGCAGGAGGTACCAAGTACTTGGGTGTGACATTAATTTTCAGCAGCACAGCCAGGATCAGGAAATCACCCACAGTCCACGCATTCCAATCCAACAGCATTAACAGATATTTAAAGTCTACAAAATTCTACACTCAATAATGCAAGAATGCTCTTCTGCAGATTTCCTTGAAACCAAACAAATATGGTTTAATCATGCAGAAAAATCGTTTTTTCTCCCAAGAGAATTTTTTTTTTAGCTACACTAAGTCAATTTTAACAATGAATTCTTCCTGTAAAGAAGGAAAATAGCAGGCAACATATTTTCAAGTTCCCAAACCAGCCACTGATAGTCTAACCTTTGAAGACAACTATTTTTCTGAGGGACTCTCCCTTACATTAAAGGACTTGGAATATTCCAAGTCCAAAACTGTAAGTGGAATTTCATTCAGTCAGAAATTCATCTGCCCTAGCACATGGGATGCTATTAGAAGAAATACCTATAGCATATATTTGTCAGAAGACAAAGTCATAATGGTTCCTTTTCATCCTACTATGAATCTGCACTCTGCAAGAGATTTAAAAATCAATATTTACTAGCACTACTAAAACCACAAAACATTCAAGTAGTATATAACTGTAATGCAAGCCCTTGCATGGCAATCCAAATTTATTGAACTACTGATGCTAAGTCATACAAAATTGCACCACTTTAATTAAGGCTTTTAGTTTACATTTGGCCACCTCAAAGCAGTTGTAACATTAGGTTGGTCAATTTAAATACTGTGGCTCCCTGTTGGATATACACACAATCTTTACACCCAAACGTTAATGCATACAAAGCAACAAGGCATTGTTAAATAAATCAGCAAAAGTTAATTACTGCAACTTAGGCCCTGTGACCAATTACACATGATTAAAATTACTTCCCACATTCACATCCACAGTACTCTTCCACCATTTAACATCTCAACCAAAACGTTACACATGTAAAACAATCACTAACAGGCAAAAGTACTAAACCTGTATATTTGGTATTGCAAATACACTTATGCATGAGCAAGCAAGGGAATTCACAGTGAGAATCTACAGCTGCAGAAGCCCGAAAATGATTTACAAAAAATTGTTAAATCATTAAAAAATCGTTTTAAAATATACACTTCTTGTTGTAGACCCCCACTGTACACACAACTATAAACATTGTTCCCTATGTAAACAAGGAAAAGGAAACATACAATAAAAGGTTGAAAAGTCTGGACATTTCCTTCCCAACAGATATTAAAGGCCATGTCTTTAGTCAGACGTTATACTGAAAGGACTCTTAAAGACTAGATCACTGTCTCCACAGGTTTTTCCTAAAATTAAAAAACTATATAGCTGTTGTGTTAATCAAAGCGCTTTTGTACAATACGATGATGATGATCCTGTATTTCTTTAAAAAAGTTACAATAAGCTACAAATACCGATGAAGCAAAGTTATCTGGAGTAGTCTATATAGGAGCTCTTTGGACTTTCTTTTATTATGCTAAAATAGTGGTGCTTTTAGGATTTACATTATTGTACTCTCCAATAGAAAGTGGGGATTGTTGAAGTATACAGTACACAGTTTTCATACATGTACAACATTGGTGGATGAACAATGTCTCTTATCAGTAATACTGGATGCAGGCTCTGGTTTTACCAGTTGCATACACTTAGAATATTTATAAGTAAAAATCTCTCGTGACACTGGAAAGTGATTAGAATGTGCAAACTGATGTAGTAGCTTTCATCCATTTCTTAAAGGGTACCACCACAGGAAAGTCCATTTAAGATGTTGGTAGGTTTAATAAAGTTGGAATGCTGGCACTGTTGAATTGGGCAACAGTTCTTCAGACCTGTAACAACAAAACAAGAGGCGTTAGTAGTAGTAACAACTATTTGTATTAGTAACAACTATGTGTCATTTCTCTTTAGTTAAAAGAACTAAAGCAGGAGCTAGTAAAGTTCTTAGCAAACAGAAGATAACCTCCTCACTTCTCCGCTACCAATATGATTTCTACTGTACACATACAAATAAACAGACTATCTCAATTAGTAAAACTGAATTGGGATACACATAGTAATCCAAGCTGAACTGTGGAAGTAGTATTTGATGGGTGGGACTAGTTTTGCTTACAGTACGACAGTTCCGGTGGCTTTAGAAACAAAACCACATCTGGAGGATCAAAGCTCCTGAATCAAGAGCCCTGTTAAGGAAATGCAGCAGCCATTTCTGTCTCCTCAGCTAATGCTTTTGGAACCCCTCAGTTTCACTTTGAACCGATTCAGTTGTTCAAATTAAGTTTTAACATCGCTACCAAAAAGAGTCAAACATGGCACTATCTGAGTATTAATAAAAGCCTGCAATTTATGACAGTGAAATGTCCTACCAGGATCCTCCAGTGTATCAAACAGGTCTATCAGATGACAAAATAATGGATCATAGCACTGAAGCAATCAAACCACCAGATGTCAAGTAAAATTGAAGGGAATCGAGATGAACAGGAAAACTGCATGATGTCAGGTCAATCAGGAGAGACCTCTGTCCATACTAAGGCTCAGAGGTGGAAAGGGGAAACAACCTGCCCAAGAACCAGTTGCAGAAAAAAATTCATGCCTGCTGACTAGCGTCTGAAAAGGCTTGCTTAGAGAGCAGGCTGGAGCTTGCTTGAGCCTTCAGCAGCATTCTTAAAGCATAGATTTAGTCATGTAGAACATTAACCAACTGCCAACAAATAAGAAATTGATCTAGTAACCAAGAGCTCCAGGTCAAATATTTCAAGTGTTACAATGATCACTTCACTGTTCTCTTCCAAATGTACTAATTACAATGCAGTCTATAAAATATCCATACAGTCCAAAGAAAGCAAGCTAAATTCCTATGACATCATGCAAGTACATGCAGGAGTTCAAAGCAGAAAGTGACATTTTAGCAGGCAAACTGCAATATTTTACAGTGCGCATTCCTGATAATTGAGCTGTTGTAGTATATTCTACCAGCCTTTTAAAAAGAAAACCCTGTTTCCAAAAGCTAAAGCTTTGAAGTAACAGAATGAACATCCTTAATTTGAGCTCTACCAACATCTTAAAGCTTGAAAAAACCCCAATACTAATGTGAACAGTTTGTCTTGCACATAGTTGTAGTTCTGACTTTGGAATGGCAAAATGAAGAGCATAAAAATTTCCAAGATAATGTAAATCAAGAATTTTCAATGCTGTTCTGCATCAACAGCTACCACAATAGTTTAGGTTTTTTTGTTGTTGTTTTGTTTTTTTAATAGCCATAACACACAGAAAATTTGAAAACATTTACCTGGCTCAGAGCTACAGTACAGCTATGTATTAAAGTAGCTGACATGATGACTTTTTGCGTGCTTTTCCAGGCACTGGAGTTTTTCTGTTAATTTGTCGCACAAGGTCATAAAAGATCTGTGAATATAAAAATCAGTTGGTTATTGGAATTAAGAGGCTCCTCTCATAACCTTAAAGCCTTGAATCTTCACACAGAATTTACTCATATACTCAAGAACCCCTTTAAGTATTTAGTTATCACAAAGCCAGAAAGTTAAATTGTATACTTAATTAACACCTGTTTATTTTCTGTTTAAGATAATTGTCTGTCAAGGCTTTTCCACTTTCAGTGAAGCAAACTGGAAAGGCATCTATAATCTGCAGCTGTTTAATCTCTGGGTCAAATTTATCTGAACACACATGATGTATGTCACGATGATCAACTAGTATATGCTATTACTTTGCAATTTAGCACCGAGGTCAAGAAACAGGCATCAGCTTTTCTCTGACTCAAATCACTTTAAAGATATTCTTTTAAAGAAAGTTCTAGTAAGTTTTAACTCCACATTTTCATGGTAACTCAAGTACACTGCATATTCTGTAATAGTTTCTTGTATTTGAATGAGGTCACGCTTTTCCAGATACTTTAAAAATACTGAAGTCTAGAGAATTAATTCAGCAGCCTCTCTAGGACTACAGCATGACATAAGCGTAACATTTCCTAGAAAAGTAACTCATGTATGAGTCTCTCACACTTTGAACCTCCTGGAATTCTAATTAGAGCATGATTTTGTTAAAAGGCTAATTTAAGACAAGTCTACATACTACAATTAAACAGCATCTGTTTCGTTCATAACTGACATTGTTCCAATTATTTCTGCATCTCCTAAATCAAGGAGGTCCTCATACTAAAGCCATCCTAGCAGCTTCCTAAGCGCTGGCTGCAAAGCTGCAAACATTCCAACAAGCACTTTTAGTATTTGATGAAAGTAAGTTCTGGATATGACTTTTATATAGTTAAGCTGATTAATTTGTATTTAAGAAAAATCTGAATAGTTTCCAGAAATTCCCAATTAAACACACATTACTCATTTTTAAAATCAGCTGTGCTTAAAACCATCATACTCATTTGATTACATGCAAATCTTGCAGAGAGGCCCTTTCAACTTGATGCTGCCAGTGATGTTTTCCAGAAGACACAATAAACTGCAGGGCTTATCATAATAATCAAGCTGTTCCAGAAATGTAAACACTAACACAGCTTTTTTCTCTCAAAATTTTTGCATCCCTTTCTTTATGCTGGCACTGGATAAGTGCACCCCACTGGATAAGAAGGCATGCACTATGGCAAGTCCCAAAAATGCATGTGTGTGATCAGTCACCTAGCTCCTCCCCCCCCCCCCCCCCCCCCCTTTTTTTTTTTTGAACTGAGCACTTATTTAGGTCTCTTCTCTAATCAGCTGCTAATTTGGACAAAACCCTTAAGAGTTTTTGTCCTTGCTATCTCAAGTAATTTAATATCAAATAGTTTAAATCAATTAGTATTAAGGACTTAACTCTTAAAAGGTATTTTTTTTTAAAAAAAGATCTAGTCTAACAGTGCATTCTCAGTGGATATAGACTATATCAACTAGGGAATGTAAGATGAAAAAGGTATGTATCCCAAATTCATAGGAATATAATTTGAAAACTAATTATACTAAAATTTAATGTAATTCTTAGAATTCGTAAGTCAAAGCTAACTATATCCCATAATAGAAACATGTCACAAATTCTCATAATAATTTTGTACATTTCTGTCCATTATAGTGAATGTTATTCGTAATTTTGTTTTTCTTGATAAGCCATAACATTTGGTTACCAGAACACAGTGCCTCATCCTTCTCTCCCTGCCACCCCTCCCCTCACAGGTAGTGTGCCTTACCTCGTTAACATTTATCTTTGATTTTGCAGAAGACTCTAAGAACGCACAGTTATTCCATTGCCTTGCTAGGTTCTGACCTTGTTCCTTTCCCACAACTCTTTCATCTTCCAAGTCACATTTATTGCCAACCAGAATCATAGGCACCTAAAAAACAATTTAGTAACAGCAAAAAATTAATTAAAATTTTGGGAAGGCACAATGTAAATGCACACCTAAAACCCTATCTGAATCCTTAGAGGATCCCAACCTCCAGAATAGTCAAGTTCTGCTATAACAGAAACTTAAGTTTACAGTTGTGCGAGACTTTAATCTCCAAATCAAAGTGACTGCATTTTTTGCCTCCTGTTTGGCAGGGTGGGGGGGGAATGGTTTGAAGATTCGGTACACTGCCAGTTGAGGAAATCTCCCATCTTCTAGAAGACCAAATGCGATTTCATTTTTAGATGTTTAAGGTATCAAGAAGTCTACTGAAGAATCTGCTACAGGATTCTTACACGTTCAAAAATCCTGGAGAAAGTGGCCTGTACTGGGCAGCATGATGAAGGATGCTAAAAAGCTCCTTTCACCATTCCTCTACTTCGAGCTCATCTGCACTCCTTTCAAGAGCAGTTTGCTCACACAGCTCTTACCAGTAACCTGATGCACACAGAGGAAAGAAACATGCTAGCTTATCAAAATTACTAACTACAGAAAATGCTGAATTGTCCTTTGTGGCAAGAAAACGCAATCATACAAAGCTCGGGGTTTCCTTTCACTAATTGAAGGACATAGCTAAGTTTCTCCCAAATTCAAGTGTTGAAAAAGCTTTACAGTATTCTGATCATTCAATTTCCCCCCACTGAGAGAGCAAGTCATGCCTAAGATTTGGTATAGGAAAAAGTTTATGTAAATTTTGGTGAGAACTAGATTTGGAACTTGAAGCTTCTTTCTCCTGATACTATGGAATAGCTTTCAAGACTAAGGGGAGTGTTGCAAGAGAAATACAATTCCAAGGAAATATTACCAAAACACTACCAAGAAAGCTTATGCAAATCAGCATAAATATACCATGTAAACTAACGTTTCAAGTATTCTCACATTTATCTTGACTGTAGTGTACAAAGTTAATTTGATGCTAAACAAGGCTGTAACTTGGTAGGTTCTGGATGCACATTGCAACCGAAGTACTACACTTTTGAGATACATTTGTGATAATGGGTAATAAATCACTTCTACAAGAAATCTGCTGAACACAGGCAAGACCTGCAAATGCTTACGCTTAAGAAAGTGCAAGGTGGTTTGCATTACGAGAGTCACAATGAACTTCCCTGAAATTGAAACATTTAATATATTCTGTGTCTGCTGGCAGCAGAAGCATATGTGGATACACACAGTAAGGAAGGGATCAAAGTTTCCATTAGCACAGTTCAAATGAGATGAGCACACTTGAAAAAATGTTCGTTGCTTACATTTTTTTTCAAGGAAGATTTTGTATCTGATAGCTGCAACCTAGAAGGTATTTCTATTAAAAAATAAAAAAAAAAAAAAAAAAAAAAACATCACACTTTTACTGCTGTTTCACATTTGAAATACCTTTCTTCCTTTTATTAAGGGACTATTAATTTCCTGCAACTGGAGTAAGTTTTTTTTTAATCAATTATAAACTGGAATGTTTTAGACTCACGTTATAGCTTTAATAATGCTAAGAAAGGTACACATTGAAATTGTGTGGAAATTGTATGGCCAAACTTACTTGCAAGACTACACACAAAATATAAAAGCTGGGTAACATGCAAGTTTAAAGCTTACAGTAGTGTCTTCTGTAAGAACGTAGAATTTTGTGCTTTTAAAAGACCCTAAACAGTAGGCATATTGAAAAAAAAAAAATTGAACTGTGGGGTTTTTTAAACCTTCATTGAGAGTAATTGAGGTTAGAATAGAGTTGCTTTAGAAATGTTTTCCGCAACACTAGTGAATAAGGTTATCTACAATTTCAAATAGAGTATTTTAAAGGAAGAGATTAAAAAGACAATTCTCTCTATACCACATGACAATTTATGATTTCTCCAGTTTGCCTTAAGAGTTGCATTTCTGTACTATGCATCTACTGGTTGATTTGTCTCTTAATTTAAAGCTTGGAAGCTATCCAATCACAGTCTATACATTACAGCATCTGTAATGAAAACTGTAAATATATGTATTAAGCATTTTCAGAGATGCTTACATCATCAGTGTCTTTGACTCGAAGAATCTGTTCTCTTAGATCCTGTAAATCATTAAATGTGGACTGTGCTGTGATGGAATATACTAATGCAAAACCTTGTCCATTTTTCATGTATAGGTCTCTCATTGCTGTAAACTGTTCCTATAATTAAAAAAAAGAGATACAGATGTTACATTCAATTTGCACCTTCCTTACATGAACTGCCATATACTTCAGGTCACAAATGGATCACAAGCACGATGCATTTGTGCCCTCCCCCCCTTTTAGAACTGACTAATATTTTACTGTTTGACTATAAGCATTACAGTAAACTGAAATGCTTTTAAATAAACCTCGTTTGGAACATTATCTAGGGTGGCTGAATAATATCTAGATATTGCCAAGAGCTATACCCTGGGTGTGTGTGTGTGTGTGGAAATCACAGAATCTAAAGTAATTTCAAAAGAGAGGAGGTACAGTAGAAGGTACAGTATAATCTGTAGATACAGAAGTTACATTCCTCCCGAATCCTTCCTTGCATACCAATTTTCTCCCATCTCCTGACTGTTCTTGAAAATGCATCGCAAAGTAAATGTGCCCCTTTTCAGGCTCCATTTTGCAGTCTAGGCACCTTCCTATGTTAAATTCTACTTTCATTTTCAAGGAGATTAACTAGAGGATGGAGACACTCAATAGACTCGCCACATTTCCTAGACTTTGGTCACAACTACGATATTGCATAGGAAGACTCGCTGGTGCACTGCACAGCAGCATTAGGTCTTCTATGTTTAAAAACTCTCACCAGTATGACTGTGGAATAGCATTTGCTTTTCTCACTTTAGTGACTCTGCTATCTTGTGAATGATCAATCACTCACTAAGTCCCTTGCTGTATGCCAGATGAAAAGCCCAACATATTTCAAGAGAACAGCCACTCCATCTTTCTGTAGTTTTACGTGGCCTTACTCTAATACGGAATTTAAATAAATTATTATTATTGGACCAGATTACTATTACAGTTCAGAGAACACATGCTGCGCTCCAAAGGTCTTGAGCTTGTGCTCACTGGAATCAATGAAGGAAGTGACTGCTTTCAGTAGATTTTGGAATAAATCAGAGAAAAACCTGACCAGTATGTAAAGGGTCAGCATAAACCCTGGGCTTTGAGTTCACATAAGCTGACTAAAGCGATACTATTTTTATCCCAATGTCAGAGGACATCTCACACACAAAAGAGAAAGGAGAAAAAAGCATATATCCTCTGCAGCAACAGAAATCAAACCTGAGCAACCATTGGGCCTAAATTTTCCTCTGGGCAATATAAACTCGAAACAGCAGCACAAGTTCTTTCAAAATTCTCAGTCTCACATCTTCCCCTCTTACAGAACATGAGCTCACAGGAAACTCGCAATTTATTTTCTGCTCCAATACTTGTTTAAATACTAGTATGTTAAAGAACATCCTTTAATCCAATGCACTGACCACAGTTACTTTTTAGAGAACGAGGAAGGAAAGGTGCCAGCATTTACATCCCTACAGCTTTTGATTGTTTTAACATTGTACATCAGTATTTAGGAAAGTTGGTTTTACATACCGTTCCTGCAGTATCTAGGATTTCAAGCATACACTGTTGTGCATCTACTTCAACTTGCTGTCAAGAGAGAAAGATGTGGTTAGAGTTTTTCCTCTTGCAACTCTCCCCCCCAAAGACACCAGGAATTGTGTGATTTTATAAGCAAATTCATAATGCATAAAGCAACATAATGGCTTAAGAAGTTTATATGGATATACACTTTGAAAACAGCAGGAAGAAGCCTTTCAAAGAGCCCTAGTGACATTTTCAAAAGCAGCGTCAGCAGCTAAGTACCACTTTGCAAAGTGATTAGGAATTTTTGATTATTAAAAAGGAGGCTGCTAAATATGTAATGATGGTTATCAGCAACTAGTACAACTCATTTCTACTTGTTTCAGGGATCATTCACACAGTGAAATAAAAGTACATGTGGAAAGCTAGAAAGTTGGGTTGGCATTACTAATGCTCATTTAATAGCAATTTAGATCAACAAGAGAATAAGTAGTACACAGCAAACAATAAACAAAGCAAACCACTAAGAGTGGTGTCCCCAAACCAGGCCTTTAGCGATACTAATTAGGAAACTGATCCAGCTTAGAAAAATTTGCAAAAAAAAAAAAAGAGAAAGTTTAAGAAGCCAGATCAGTTTCTATTTCAGAATTCCTCTATCTAGTTTCTACCTCAAAAAAAAAAAAAAAAAAAAAAAAAAGGCCTTGAGGGCATCAAAGGACATGGAAGTGCCCTCAAGCTGTTTCAGGCAGGCTACCTACTTTCTTTTTTTCTTTTTAAGCTATTGGTACACTTCCCTTGTTTCCGTTTGCATGTAAAATTCCTAGTTGACAGATCAGCACTCAGAAAGAAGTTCATGTCCCCTATTCCCGATATATGCATTATCCTCAATATATGTATTATCACTCATTTAACGTCAAGCTTTCCTTTTGTAACTAGATTTGAGCTGGCGGGGCGGGGAAGAGGAGTATTTCCACTCCTCTCTCACCTCCCCCATGTCCCCTAGGGATGGGGATTCCTTCAATAGCCACTGTTTTAGCACGTATTGCTGACAAAGTTATTCAGCTAATTAAGCAGCATCTATTCTCTTTATGAAGAAATATTTGGCGAGTAAATCAGAATGTCAAGTTTCAAGACTTCATGCTCAAACTATTTAGTTCCAGACAAACTTAAAATTTTCAAGCCAGGTCCTCTCAACTTCAAATATTCTAAAACTAGATTTAAGATTAATAGTACAGAATTGCAACTGCCAAACCAATACATTTTAAAGTCACCCAAGTCAAGCAGAAAGTTAGAATTGTAACTAGCAGTGAGGGGAAGAAAATTACTGCATGAAGTGTTGTCCAGACCTAAGCAACACTTTAACAATCTGGCTGATTTTAAAAGAAGAATAAACATAGATATTCCTCATCATTTCAGGACCAAACCTGATCTTTGCTTAAAAAAAAAAAAAAAAAAAAAAAAAAAGAAAAATTACTTAGCAAAAGGCAAAATTTCTTGAAATGGCTTTACATTTTCAGGCTCCATGGAAATAGTCTTTGGAAAAATTCACCGAGCAAACATCATGAATCTAGTATGACCTGAAGAATGTAAATACGTAGCAAAGGAAACATTTCAGTTTAGTACAGCCTGTGAATAGTTTTGGAGTAATTTATTGGGCCTGACCAGCAAAGGCCTGCACCAAACATTGGGATAGGATCCAAAAGTCTTTCTCCTCTAATACAGAAAAAGTAAGTGGCTACATAGAATTTTTTGTTGCTGTTGTCTCTTTAGTAAGAGTTCCAGCTTTGGCTGGAAGCCCACATGCTTAAGAAAGACTAGGATTTTTCCAGTTTATAGATTTCTATGAGGTCAAAGACGACAAGTGTGAAATTATCACTTTGCTCTCACTAATTCCTCTTCTGTTCAGAAGAGGTTCTGGTAGCTATAGGCTGCGATGGCTGTTAATGCAGCCTCTTTATTCCAATATAAATGTAGCCCAGTGCTGAAAGAGGACATACTGCAGGTTTTTCCCATTCCCAGCTAGGGTTTGCACATTTTGCCTCCCTTGTACAGACACTGGTATTTTTGTGACAACATAGTGAGTTACATCAGTGCATCAATGCATCTGAAAAGCAATTCAGCTAGAAAAAGAAAAAAAAAAACATTTTTAAGAAACTGACACAGATGAAAACTAATCTGCTTCACCAAACGGTTAACTCTTTTTGTGGCAGTCCAGATGTAAACTATCTTAATCTGGAATATTAATCATGGTCTCAGCTGAAACTGAAGAGTGAGCAATATGGAGATTCAAGATGATGCAAGCAGAGCCTGTCATGCTGAAGATGGGAAAAGAGAAACTAACAGGCCACTGTGTTTGTTCATTTACAACAGGTTTGTGTTAACTTATTAAAAAAACAACAAACCATCTAATGGAAGCTATCAGTGAAATTGTTAAGAAAACAGTACATTGCCTCCAGTGTTCTAAAGGTGAGCCTCAAGTTGTTTTTAGCGGATTTTCCTAGTAGCAAAGAAGCTTAGAAACTCTGACATGCAGGTCCAAATCTACCTACAGATACTAACACACACACACACACACAATGGTATTAAGTATTATAAAAAACAAATGCTAGCAGTTTATTTTACTAAAAAAAAAAAAAAAAATCAACGTTCCCAATTCTGAAAACGAAATTACCATTTTTTACTGACTAGCTAGTAAGGTATTATGCTTAAACATTAAAAAGCTAGTCTTGAATTATTCCTTTTAGACAGCCTTTAAGAGCACCTTTACATTTCAAACTTGTTAAGTTATGAGGTATTATGTGGCATTACCAGGCATAACTTTTTTCAAGCAATGTCTCAAATATTTGACAATGTGTACTACAGTTTTAAGGTCTGTAACACTGGGGAGGTCTTTTGTATATACCTTTCTGTAGGAGTCTTCTATCGTAGGGTCGTATTTTTCAACAAATATTCCTTGAACAAACTGTACAGTCTGCAACACAAAAGTTCTTGTAAGATTCTTCTTGTATAGTGACATTTTGTAAACCTTGTACACAAATTACCGTTCTAGGTGTATACTCAAGTTATCCATTACATTTTTGAAGGCAAATTAAGTGACTGACATAACTATAAGTTATAAGAAACAACAGGAAGTTAGATGTATGCGCCTATTTGACTAAGTACTGTTAGATGAAGCAATGCTACACTTTCCTTTATCCACTCTCACTTGGAACATAACAATTAAAGCATGCATTGATTTAAGGTTTGTCTAGCTGTTGGAATCATTATTAGTGTTTAGTTGAATAGGACACTGTATACAGCTGCATGGCTTTTACATTTGCATTTAGAACTACTACATCTTCTGCTACTTATCTGCCAGCACAGGAATTAGTCAAAAAATAACTGCCAACATTTACTAGTCTTAACTATACTCAGTAGGATATTCCTGTGTACCTAGCGTGTAGGATGTTTTTAGCACAAGTGGAACTTTAAGAGTCAGTGGCCAAGTCAGAGCAGACAGGTTCAAATCCAGAAATGCTGCAGTAAGATAAAGAATTCAGAGGTGAAGGAAAAAGTTCTTTCGCAGTCCAAGATGATTTGTCATTTAAATTTTCCTTTAGGAACTGCTTTGTAAGAGAATAGTTCTTACCTGATAGCGTGGACCTCTAGACCTTACTTTATGATAAGGTGCACAATTAAACTGAAAGATGTAAAGCTCTTAGGTGGGTTGAGAACATCATATTCTGTGAAGTTTTTCAGTGCCAGTCTAGGTCAGACTAAACTTTTCTGTTATTGTTTAACTAAAATGCATGAGCTCTTTGGTTTACAATCATCCACCTGCTGCAGCTATACACCTACTTGCAGGGAAAGATGTAGAAAACATGCTGAACCTCCTACAAACATGCAAATATATATTTGTATTTGCATAAAAGAAATATTAGTGCTTTAGAGACTGCTATCAAATATTAAGCAAACAGCATGCTGGTGATCTTTCTAGTGACAGGAGTTACCAAGGCCAGACACGGGCAAACCAGTTCATTGTGAAAGTTTCATGAAGCAGCTTGATTTCCCACAGACCTATGGCTGGGTTACTCTGTGAAGCCAGAGACCTTCATAATGCTGTGGCTATGTGCTTCACTATGTAAGACAGGCAAAGATCTGAGTAAGCACCATCAATCAACCCATACAAAAATATAGCATGCGAGAGCACGCCAATGGGTGTGGATACACCCAGTAAAGGACGTACCTATTCTAGCCAGGAACGCTCAGCAGTCATTACTTATATTTATGTTTATTTTTGCACACTTATATAAAAGAAGTAAGGGTTAGTAGAGAGTGTATTAGAGAAAAAAAAAAATATGAGAAGCCTAAGAAAACGTACTTGAACTGCCTCACAGAGTACTTACCAGAGCAGACTTTCCAACACCTCCAGAACCAAGAACCACTAGCTTGTATTCGCGCATGATGCAAGAGATAAATCACCCTCAATACCTAAAACACACAATAAGTTGTTCACCATTTTGATCAACAGGACAATTATTTTAGCATTACTACAGCCGCTCTAAGATCGCATATATAACAAGACATTAACAGTTAAATATTGATATCAACTGATAAATGCAGGAGTTATACCATTATAACCAGACATAACCTAAGAAGGATGTCACTTTGATTATTAGACAATGCGGAAACTATGGACATTTGTTCAAGATACAGTACTGCTGAACGATGCTACTTTTTTACCTAGCACAAATAAAGTACCTCCAAGGTTTTCTTGTTACCAGGACTTTAACACTTAAAGAACGATTATTTGCATGTTATCTACCCTAATTTCATAGGCAAAATAGTACAGATTCGGAAAGTTTTTAAAATGGAGACTTTCATGTCCTATGAAACAGTAATTCAGAGAAAAGGCAAGAACGGATTAAGACACTCTGCAAGAAAGACCTCAGTATCATGACCTTGCCAAAATACCACAGGTGTTTCAAAGAAAGTGCACAAGTATCTGGAAGAACTGCTCACACCTGTGTGCATGTATCACTTCCCCAGAGACCTCTGGATGGATTCATCTCCTTTATTTACAGCAAGGAGGAATCAGGCATAGAAATTAATTTACTCCAATTGATAGGCCGATTACTTGGATTACAGCATACCATCCAGTGAGGTGGGTTATTCTCATAACATTTTCCAGAAACCTACAAAATCTCTTCTAGTCATGCAACCAAGTCCATGGCACCCCTCTGCTATAGTCACAGCAAGCAGTAAGGTATTTCACAGGCTTCTCAAGAACTTTCATTCACTCACAAGAAGTTGCTTGCACTACATATTTTGCAACAACAGACCAAAACCAATACTCCAAGAGCCACACAGATGCCTAAAGAGCTTGCAGTTTTACAACCACTACATTTAGAGTATTGAATAGGTTTATCGGGTAAACAGCTGCTAAAGTTTTTTACGTACGGTACCGGTACAGTAATTCTAAAAACATGTCTCAAATTTCATAGCTACTACATCCTCTTCTCATCCATCCCCCAAACTTGTTTTGTATCACACAAGTTTTGTAATTTCATATACATACACATACATGTATAAATGATTTTGTTCATATGAGCTGACATGCATGAAATGTCTCCAGTCTTCTCTGAAGAACTGAAAGCATCAGCATGCTGACAAAAAAAAAAACCAAAAACAACCACACCAAACAGATGGGAAACTTCTTGAGGCAATAGCATCTCTTTATTTGTATTGTAATTTACTTGAAATAACATCCAAATTTTGTGTCTACTGACCCAAAGTTTGATCCATATGCAGAAAGTACAACCATGAAACCACAACCCAGTTCACACTAAGCAGGATTTGATAAAAGGGCTTAGTTAATTTTTTTTAATAAGGTGGCCATTTTCAAGCTATCAGCTCTTAATGCAGCCCCAATAAAATGCTGCAAACTATCAGATATAGTATTTCCTCTACCGCATTACCATTCTTCCATAAACATTGCATAAACCCTACTATAGTAAAGCTAACAGTTACTATTGATAAGAAACAATTATCCAAGAGGAGACAGAATTTGTTTCAGAATGAGAAAATGCATGCTAATCAAAGAATCACAGAGACAGACTTGTATAAGAAAATTAAGCCAACCTCTTCCCAGCAAACAAACATCTGTCAAAAAGAACAGCAAGATCCCAAAAGTCAGTTTTCAAAAAAATCCCTTAAGTCTGAAAGTTGATTAATGTTTTTCTAGATATCTAACCACAGTTATGATGACTGTAGTTTCATAAATAATTGGAGGCAACTAAAATATTCTTTTGAAACCATTCCTGTCCTACGAGCGAGATCTGTTCACTGGTTCCACACTAGCTACTGTTGCTGCCTACAGCAGTCCGCCAGATCTGCTTGCTTATCTTTGTTGAAAGCTGACTCAGCAAAACCAAAACAAGGCCACAGATATTGGGACACATCTTTGGGTCATCCTGTTCAAGAAAACACGCACCTCTCAGTCTTGCTAGCAATGGAGCTATCAGGACTGTTAGTGCTGCCCTGGGAGGAAGGTCTCAGTTCCTCTCCTGTACTGGCTCTAGCACTTACCAGATTGAGTTACCTGTTTTCTCTCCTCTCTGTGCTCACAGAAAGATGAAACCTTCCCCAACGGGTGAATAATTTGGGGGTTGGGGGAGAGGGAAAGTGCAGGGAATCCAATACAGGGGCTCATACAAGGTAAGCAGCAGAAGCAAGGTAAGAAAGACCCCTCTCATCAGCAGTAATCTCACAGCATCTCTGGGAGTCACACCATCTGTTCAGTGTTTAGCACAAAATGCTAAGATGATTTACATAGAAATTAGAGGACCTCCATGTTAGTGTCCATCTTCGCCATCACTGATCAACTCCATGTTGTCTTAAGACTTGAGAAATCAAGTGGCCAGGCCCTACTCTATGTTCTTCTCGCAAACATTTAATGAGCAATCTTTTGGCTTACCTAAACCATTCCTTGCACCTTAAGCAAGCAAAAGGAACGTATGGAAAAAGCCATAAGGAAATAATTGGACTAATGTCCAGCTAGGCAAGACTCTCCACAGGCTTCTGTTACCAATGAAATTGAGACACTCTTCAGTGATTTTCACACTTAATAGAACACCTTTTCACTCCTAACTTTAAAAACTATGCTTCCTTCCCTACAAGGATTTTTTGCAAACAGAGACTACCAGAACCATTCACACCACAAGTTTAATCTATTTGGCACTACTGTAAACGTTCAGTTAGATCCACAAACCTGTAAGTTGTCCAGACTTTCTACAAACAATAGGAAAAAGGACTGTATCTAACTATGAAATGCACCTTTCGAAGTCATGACAAGTTAAGCCTATAACTACATCACCTGCCATTTCTTTAAAACAAACATTCAGTTATGCCTTTACTTTTGGAAAAGTGTCATTAGAGTGACACAAACTTAGTGGGTGTAGGGGAAATCCCAGTACAGTAATCTGGGTGAACTGCAGCAATTTCACACTGTCTTGAAAAGAACGGTTTAAGCTGAATTTTTCAGTCTTCAGTCTGAAGTTAACAACTAAATACGGAGATGTCAATAACAAAGGCTGACAGTAATTCAGAAGTAACAGAACTTAAGCAGCAGCTACCAAATACCTGTTTGACCTAGTGGATTGAGTAATTTGTGACTTTTTCTTACTGACTGATCTATAACTCCTTAAAGAAAATTCCAAATCCTGAAATAAGATGCTCACAACTTGGTTTTAGTGAGAGACTGGCAATTCCATTTTGGCTTTCCAACAGGGATTCAGGAATTTAACACAAGCCAAGGCTTCTTTTGGCATCCAGATTTGGAAGTTCACCCCTAAATATCCAACTGCTGTACAACACTCTAGAGCCGATTTCACTACTTTAGGTGGTGGTACATAATTAAAGAACATACATACACTATTACAGCTTGGTTGATCAGTTTGTTTAATCTCTGGAGCACCTAAGCAAAAAGCTTTTTTAAGATTTTTGAAGATGAGGCAAAGCCAGACCTGCAGTACACTCAAACATTTTTCTCTGACCCTCCCTCCAAACTTGGGCAATGAGCAATGCAAATACTAACTTCCTCTTTCCCCTTGAGAACTGTTTTGTCATTTGTACAGTTACTCCCTACTCACCGAAAGCACATGGTAATCCTTTATACGCACCCCCCTCTATACAGCATAGAGGTAGCTTGGCATCTCTGCACTGGTTCATCATCAGGTAGTCTGGCAATGACATAGTGGAATGAAACACAAACCAACGTATTCTCCAAATTGCTTTAAGAAAGCTAACTTGGATATCTCTACCACAGCATGCAGCCAAAGCACCATCATCTGCTCCCACTTAGATCTACCACGCCACTGGCTTTGAGCAGCAGTCTCAATGTCACTTCACCTTCCTCTTACTGTTTTCTTACAGAAAAAAAACCCTCAACCCCTAGCTAAGAGAACTTTCCTAAGAAAAATTTCCTGGTTACAGGTCTTTGCCTCCTTCTCAACTAAGAAGCCACCAGCCCACGAAGCTAGGAGCTGCTTTAGGAGACTGTGGTCTGCCATGCTATTTGGTGTAATAAATGCCTAGCACACACTTTTTCACCGATCGGTATGCCTGTTGGCTGCAAGCATGCCCCAGACTGAGTTGGGGCTCTGATCCTGTCTGAACTTGACTTTCCAGTGATTCCCAATTAGCCCGACCTGACTCGACTCTAACTCAAACCTATTTTTCCGTATCACATGCTGTACAGACTACTTGCATCCTAAACCTCAGTCTTGGTCTTGCTTTACTTTTCAGATCGACACGCTTGACTCTGGAACTAATATTGTATTCAGCTCCATCCAGTGCCAACACGATTTCCTTTTGACTCATCTATGACAAATGAGTGGGGGCAGAGGAGGAAGACAACAAAGTATAAAAGCGGACGTTTAAGCCATAAAGCACCCTATCTTTCAGTTACCTGATAGTATTTGAAACAACAGAAGCCATTAAGCTTCAAGCAAGACATTAAAGTAAAAACTTCAACTGCTGATCGAGATGCAAACTATAAAACCTTAGATGGAAGGTGAAACTTCTGCTGGATTTCCTTTTCTGCCTGAGAGAAAAAAAAAAAAAAAAAAAAGCACACTTCTCCAGCCATTCTGAAACAGAGACCGGACTTAGTGCATGCGGTATCTCTTTACAAAGTCTGTGCCTTGCATTTCGCATATTGTCATCCCCTCCCACCCCCAGAAAAAAGAAGTTGAACTTTGGAAGAATATGTAATTATGAAACCATTTGTACATTCAAGACAGAGCTCAATGTAGCACTTTAAGAATAATTTTCAGCAGTCTGCACTAACCAGTCATTTCAATGATACCCTTCAGTTCTAAAGCTATCAGAAAGCAATTGTATTAACACGAAAGGAGGATAAAGGATCATTAGGTCACACGATCTCAGTCATTCAATAAGGGGACAGTTAGGTTTACATGTTTCCTTGTCTA